TTGGGCTGTGATTTATTGTACCAGTTGCCCTTTTGAACTGATGGCATGTGCCATTCTGAGGAAGTATTTCAAGGGTGACTGTGACCTGCCTTGACTTGTGTTCCATATTGTCTTATAGGAAAACCGGAGCCAGGTCAGTTTTATGTCAACAGAAATCTCTTAATCCCCTAGCATATTTATGAGTCTGTTCCCACCAGCCAATACCAAAGCATCAGTACAGATAAACGCATTTCTGAGCCAGGAATGTAGGAAGTAAAGTGTTAGGAGCCAGGAGGTTCACAGGTCATGACCTTAGGGGCTCAGGATGCTCTAGTCACCACAGGGACAGTTGGATCCTGCATTTGTAGATAGCAGGTGATAGAAAAACAAATCAGAAATTCCAACCGCAGTTTCTACATTTTCCCTTATCGTTCAGTTACCATTTCATGGAACCAAGGGATGGAGACATGCGGGCACATGTATGGACGTGAGTGAGCTTGTCCTTGGAGGCTGGTCCCTGGCCTCACTGGCCTAGGGTTGTGCTTCACCTGTTGAGAAGTGGCAGTCACTACTAGCATTTTGTGAAGTGTTTGGGAAGGTTGAAACACATCCACTGCTGCAAGACACACGTGCTGTGGCTTATCTAGGTGTTTTAGTCCGTTTATGTTGCTTAGAACAAAATACCTGGAACTGGGTGATTTATAAAGAAAATGAAATTTATTGCTTACAGTTTCTGAGGCTTGGAAGTCCAAAGTCCCTCTGGTGGTGGTGACAGTGACCCAGGGGTCTCACATTGCAAGATAGTGGAAGCAGAGAGAGAGAAAGACACTCTCCTCTTCTTTTAAAGCCCTCAGAACCACGCCCCTCACCACCATTTTTAATCCATTCAGTACCGCGTGATCCTACAACCCAATCACCTCTTCAAGGCCCCACCTTACAATTACAATAGGATTTCCCACCCTCTTAACAGTCGCAGTGGGGGCTAAGTTTCTAATACATAAAAGTTGGGGAATACAATTCAAGTTTCATTGAGTTTTGGGGGGACATAATTCAATCCACTACATTCTGCCTCTGGCCCCCAAAAACTCATGTCCTTTTCACATGCAAATACATTCATTTCATCCCCAAAGTCTTAATTTGTCTCAACTCAAAAGTCCAAAGTTTAAAATCCCATCTGTGAAATCAATACAAGTTATCTACTTCCAAGATACAATGGTGGGACAAACATAGGGTACATATTTCCACTCCAGAAGGGAGAAATAGGCCAAAAGAATGGGGTAACAGGTTCCAAACAAGTCCAAAACCCAGCAGGGTAGGCATCAAATCTCACAGCTGGTGAATCATATAACTTGACACCATATTCAATGTCCTCTGCATGCTGGTGTGGGGGTTGGGTCCCCAAGTCCTCAGGCAGCTCCACTTCTATGGCTTTCCTGGCCTCGGGTGATGCTTTAGCTCTCGCAGGTTGACGTTTCATGCCGGTAGCTCCACAGGTCTGGGGTCTCCATGGTGGTCCTGCTCTCACGGCTCCACTAGACATGATGCTGATGGAGTTTCTCTGCTGCACCCAAACCCATGTTTCCACTGGGCATTGCTCTAGTGAGGGTTGTCTGCAGTGACTCTGCCCCTGCAACAGATCTCTTCCTGGGCCCCCAGACTTTTCCATACATTTTCTGAAATCTCGGTGGAGGCTCCTAAGCCTCCACAGCTCTGGCATTCTGCAAGCCTGCAGATTTAACACCATGTGGATGCCACCAAGGCTTCTGGCTTGTATTTTCCGAAGCTGCATTTCTAGCCACACCTGGGGCCAATTTAGCCGTGGCTGGAGCAACCAAAGCAGCTGGGGTGCTGGTGCTAGAAATAGCTACCCAAGGTGGCCCTGGGCAGCGAGCTTTTTGAAGGTGCCTCAGACCTGTTCCCTGACACCATTCTGTCTCCCTAGGCCTTTGGGCCTGAAATGGAAGGGGTGGCACCAGAGGCTTCTGCAATGCCTTCAAAGCCTTTTTCTCCTTTTCTTGATAATCCCTTTCCTTTGTAATAATCTTAGTACCACTGAATTTTTCTTCTGAAAATGCTCTCTGCTTTTCTACCACATGGCCAGGCTGCAAATTTTCCAAATCTTTACTGTCTACTTCCCTTTTAAATTCTGGCTTTATGTCCTGCCTTTGACACTGTAACTCAGCATAGGCTGTTGCAAGTAGCCATGCAGCTTCCTTAGTGCTTTGCTGCTTAGAAATTTCTTCTGCCAAGTACTCTGGTTCACAACTCCTAAGTTTCAACTTCCACAGAGTCCTAGGACATGGACCAAGTGCAGCCAAACTCCTTGCCAGTTCACAGCAAGGGTGGTCTTTTCCCCAGTTTCCAATAAATTCCTTCTTATTTCTATCTGAGACCTCCTTAGAATGGTCTTTACAGTCCATATGTATCAGTGTTCTGCTCACCACGACATAACCAGTCTCTAAGACATTCCAAACTTTCTCTCATCTCTTTTTCTTCTTCTGAGTCCTCCAAACTCCTCTAACCTTTGCCTTACACCTGTTATGGCCAACGTCCGACGGGTAAAAGAAATTTGCCCACGAGAACCGGGTCATAGGAAAGGGAAAAAAGTTCATTTCTGGCAGCCAGGGCTAGGCAGGCCAATCGAGAAGCGCAGCCCTGAGTTGAAACCTGTCGCAGCTTTTATTTTTAGCTAGGCGGGAATTTCTCACACCTGACACAATCTAGCCAATGCAAGCAAGCCAGCGATACATAAGCTAATTTTGTGGGTAGCCCTGTAGCCCCTCCCCACCCTGGATTCCCCATAGGGACTTTCCAGGCTAAAATGGCAGAGCCACCTAAAATGGCGTTGGCCATGCTACTCTGTTTATTCCCCCATTTATTTTAGCAAGCGATTTGTACAGAAGCAGAATGCATATGTTAAGGTCAGTAGGGGTTGGGGCATCCCTTAACACACCCAGTTCCAAAGACACTTCCACATTTTCAAGTATTTTATAAGAAACACCTCACTTCTCCTGTACCAATTTTCTGTTTTAGTTTGTTTATGTTGCTTATAACAAAATACCTGGAACTGGGTGATTTATAAAAAAAATGAAATTTATTGCTTACAATTTCTGAGGCTGGGAAGTCCAAAGTCCTTCTGGTGGTGGCGACAGTGACCCAGGCGTCTCACATTGCAAGATGGTAGAAGCAGAGAAAGATCAGAGAGAAAGACAGACTCTCCTCTTCTTTTAAAGCCCTCAGAACCACGCCCCTCACCACCATTTTTAATCCATTTACACAATCCTACAATCCAATCACCTCTTCAAGGCCCCACCTTACGATTACCATAATAGGATTTCCCACCCTCTTAACAGTCACAGTGGGGGCTAAGTTTCTAACACATAAAACTCGGGAGATACAATTCAAGTTTCATTGAGTTTTGGGGGGACAAAATTCAATCCACTACACTAGGACAGTCAGGAGTTCTCGCACCACCACCTTCCTGTAAGGGTCTGGTGACAGCTGTGGTTCCACTTGCTGAACAGTGCACAGGCATAGAACCAGCACTGGGCAGTAAGTGCTCAGCACACCTGTGTCACCTGCCTTGGCCCCTGCTCCTGTCATCATTCTTCAAGGCTGTTTTCTTTGGGGGGTGTTTTTGGTGAACCTGGTCTGATTGGGTACTCAAGGTCAATCACAAGACCTTGTTGCAGGGAATCTACACCTCTTTGCCTGGTTTATCTATTTTAGTCTTTACAAGACTGATCTTTCTAGCTAGATCTTATGTCACTGGAGAAGAAATTCTTTGCCTTCTCTTTTTTTGGCTTTTCCATTCACAAGACAGTGAGCATTAGGTGAGGCAAAGTGGTACAGATACTCTCAGGGCACTTCCCAGGGTCCAGTAGTGGTAGTCTGCCAAGTTAACTGACTTAATTGGAGAAGAACAGTGTGATCTAGGCGCTCTCATTTATGTGATTTTTTTTTTTTTTTAATTCCAGGTAAAGAGACTTTATCTTGGGATTAAGGACTCACAGCTTACAAACTTGGTCTTTAGTGAGCCAGCGTTAGTGAAACATGCCATTTGTATGTAGGGTGAGACAGGAGCCTGTGGAGCCCTTGAGGGTGCCAAAGGTTCCCTTTTTAAAAAAAAGTTGCATTTGTTGTATTTTCAAGAAGATGTCTTGCCTCCCTTTCTTTTGCCATAAAGGCTGACTTTGTGACATGTGACATTTCATCTCTGCATCAGCACTGCTGTGTGTCTGTCTCCTCTTCGTCTGTCTTTGTAACGCCCAGTCCTTGCCTTCAGGACTTCATGCCAGTTCGTCCAGATGCAGGCTTTCAGACGGGGGTGGATGGAGATAGAGCACTTTTCCTGGGGGTGTGATCTCTGTTCTTCCAGGGGGCGTGGCCTCTGTTCTTTTGGGGATGTGGTCTGTTCTTCCTGGGGGTGTGGTTTCTCTCCTTCTTGTCCCTCTGCTTGGCCCTCAGTCCCACCACCTTGACTGTTTGCTTTGGTTGGTTAGTTGTTTCTGGGGTAGCCTAACTAGCCAGGCATTTCATTCTATCACCTGTGTTATTTCACTGGAATGCTATGAAGAAAACATCCTCTGTGTATGCAGATTTACACAGACAGACACACACACACACACCCCAGAATAAGCTCCCTGCAGGCGGGAATTGTCTCTCTTTTTTGTCTGTTGATGATGTGCCTACATAGCTTACATCAGCGCTGGTGTCCAGCACATAGTGGACACTTGACAAATACTTGTTGATGGGTGAGTCTTCTTGGTGTCTAGAAGGTACACTTCTCTGGGCTGAGGAGACAGGCCCCTCTGGTACAGCCCAGGCGTAGCTCAGCAGCTGTGGTCTTTGACCAAGCCCAGTTCCCCTCATGACTCCAGGAGCAGACTGCTCGCTGTTTTGTGTCCAGTACAGCTGTCACACACCCAGCTTTCTGCTCCCACAGAGCAGGGCGTGGTGGAGTGTGGAAAAGCCAAAGCCCTCCGCACGCTTCCCTCACGGCCAGCCCTTCGTTCTTGCAGGGGGAGCTGATCACCTTCTATTACTACTGGAAGAAAACCCCTGAAGCAGCCAGCTCCCGGGCCCATCGCAGGCACCGCCGGCAGGCCGTGTTCAGGAGGATTAAGACTCGCACTGCGTCCACCCCCGTCAGCACACCCTCCAGGCCCCCCTCCAGTGAATTCTGTAAGTGGAGAGTCTTAGCACCACAATGGGTAATGGGAGACTATTCACACACAGTGTGCGTGCGTGCGTGCGCATGTGTTTGTGTGTGTGTGTGTGTGTGGTCCAACCTAGATGTAACACTGATGGGGAGGGAAGGGGGTGATTCAGTATGGAGAGTTTTAAGAATTATTCTTACATTTTAACATTTCTAATAAACTCAACAGCATTTTCAGTTTTTACAAAAATGTAACTCTTGGCCTTGGCCTGAGGTGTTTTTGGCCTTGGCCTGAGGCGGTTTTCCACTTAGTGGATGACGCACTGTTTGAGTTCACAGTGCATTTATATTTTGGTAATAATAAAATCAGATTAGGACTTTCTTCTTTTTTCTTCTGCTTTACCAAGATCCTCTTCATCCCAGTGTGGCAGGCAATCTAATATGATAATGTAGCCCACACCTCTCACTAGAACTGGCCTAGGACACTTGACTTGAGGGTCGCCTGTGTTGCACATGCAGACAACCAGAGATAGCCTAGTAGGTGGGGGGACTCAGTAGAGACGAATGTCTCAGGCTGTCTGACTGTGTCTTCAGGGAAGCAGCATGGATGCATTTTTCCCAGTTCAGATTCACAGCATGGGCATTCTTGCCTGCCACCCTGGGATTCAGGTGTGACATCAGCCCCCATAAATCTGGCAGGATGGGCCCTTGAGTCCTGCTCCTCACATGCAAGCTCTTTGTTCTGGTGATTGGCTCTCGGAAACTCAAAGGGATCCTCCACGAGCACTGTCCCCTCTCAGCCTGTGGAGCCACTCTGACTGGTGGCTCAGAGCCTGGGGCAGGCCACAAGTGACATGGTGGCCCTTGGTCTTGACTGAGCATAATGGTGTCTCCCCCACCCCCACTGTGTGCCCGCCATACCCAGTGGACCTGAGTTCAGCCAGCGAGGATGACTTCGACAGTGAGGACAGTGAGCAGGAGCTGAAGGGGTACGCCTGCCGCCACTGCTTCACCACCAGTAAGTGCCCTCGTCACGCCCCGGGGGTGGTGGACAGGGCGCACATTCACTGGGCCGGGCCAGGCTCAGGCACTTCCGGGTGCTGAACATTTCATGCATCAAACTGGGAGCCTGCCCAGGGCAGAAATTGATTTGACATTTGTATTGTGCTTTGGGGTTACTTGAGAAAGTTGAAAATCTTTATTTTACTTCATTCTTCCTCTTAGTAGTCAGTATGGAGTACTGACTAGTATGCAGGATGGACTTGCTCAAGCTGGGTAGGGACAGGGTGCTTGTGGTTCCTGGGAGCTTGCTGCCAGCTCCTGCTGTGTGCTCAAGATGAGGTGTGGCAGTGGAGTCTCCTGAAACCCTTTCCCAGCCCCAGGGAGAGCAGGACAGCACCAGCCCTGGTTGAGTAGCACGTGTCTGTCCGAGCCCAGTGCTGCATGGTCTGGTGGTACCAGGGTCGGGCAGAGCCCACAGAAGGGCCCCTCTGCCCAGATGTCCAAGGTTGGCACCCCCCCCCTTCCTTATGCAGCCTCCAAAGACTGGCACCACGGGGGCCGTGAGAACATCCTGCTCTGCACCGACTGCCGCATCCACTTCAAGAAATACGGCGAGCTCCCGCCCATTGAGAAGCCTGTGGACCCCCCACCATTTATGTTCAAACCCGTCAAGGAGGAGGATGATGGGCTCAGTGGGAAACATAGCATGAGGACGAGGCGGAGTCGGGGCTCGGTGAGTCCCCGTCATCCGCAGGGCTCCTGACAACTTCTCCAGTTTCCTGGGATGCTTGGGGGCTTGTGCCTACCAGGGGGAGGAAGTGAAGAGTTTGCCTTTGCTAGAGAAACAGATCCTTGAGGTGAAATGCTTTGCCCAAAGGCAGTAGCTGTGTCTGTGGGGCTGGGAAGAGCACTCTGTTCTCTCCTTTGGGGGTTCATGGGGTGCATGTCCCAAGCCTGGTTGCACAGAGAGCACTTCAGCCTTGGTTTCTAGCTCACTGCAGGCTCTACAAGTCTCCAAACTTCTGGCCTCTGGGCTGGTCAACTCTAGGATGGCATATCTCTGCTATTTTAAACTCGCAGGCTCTTTGGGGTTTTGTTTTGCTTTGTTTTAATGTTTGATCCTGTTTTAGAAACTTCTGGTATATCTTTCTACTCACTGCATAGCCCCTTTTATAAAGAGACTTTGTTTCCCAGGTTGAAAATATAGCAGGGACTTTGGGAGAGAGGTTTTTCCAGGTTTGGGGCAGAGGATACTGACAGGGTATTTCCCTCTAGCACTGGCCTCCCTGGTGGCCCCTTCTGGCAGGTGGGTGGGACTGTCCACTTTCTCGGGCCTCTGACGTCCTAGCAAGGTTGCTGGCAGCCTGGCCACTGCTTGCTCAGAAGGGAACAGGTGAACCAGCCTTAACCACTGCACTCTAATCTCTTCTGAGCCCTTGTGGCTTTGCAGAAACATGCTCAAGTGCTCAGTGGTTTTAGGAGCTGAACTACATTATTTAACAGCTTCATCTTTCTTTCTCGATCACTTCCCATCCTGTCAGGATAAATTCACAAGTGTTTGGCTTGGTTTGGTTTGATTTGGTTGGAGGAGTGGGCAGTTACATGGAACAAGCAGAAGGGTGAGGTGCTCTAGAGATGGCCTGGCGTGTCAGAATGGACAGCCCCTGCTGACTTCCTGCTGCTCAGAAAGTCTCATTCTTGTCCAGCACCCGGCATTCAGGCCAGTTCCTCAGGATAAGTGCTTTGGGTTTGATTTGCTGTCATCTCTTTGTGGAGCCGCCATTCACACAACTCCTCACCTCACTGCATGCTGACCCCTATGCAGCACAGAACAGGCAGGGCGCCTGTTGTTTGCCAGGGGCTGGGATTCGCTGTGATGCTGGTGGCGGGGTCTGCTCTCCCACTCCTTCTGGGTTGGACTCAGCGCAACCCACATGGGAACTGTGAATCCAGGCTCATCAGCCTCCTGTTTGGGTGCACAGATGTCTACACTACGCAGTGGTCGGAAGAAGCAGCCAGCCAGCCCTGATGGTCGCACCTCACCCATCAATGAAGATATCCGTTCTAGCGGCCGGAACTCCCCCAGCGCTGCCAGCACCTCCAGCAATGACAGTAAAGCAGAGACAGTGAAGAAGTCAGCCAAGGTCAGGTGCTGGGCGGGGAAAGTGGGGCTACTCAGTCCCTTCCTCACATTAAAGCTGGGTTGCTGGAGCTGGTGTTCATTTCTTAGCACCGACCTCTGAGGGCCACCTCTGCCTTGAGCTTCCCAAGGCCTCAGAGGTGGGGGTCGGGGGTGGTTGGAAAGGCTTCCTCCCCCCCAAGTTATTCCCATCCCCATATACTTGTTCCTTCCTGGTCCTAGTTGGCCCCTTCCAGAGCTTTCTTGCTCTGGAGATGGAATCAGAATGAGGGAACAAAGTGTCCTCAAACAGTCATCATTTCCCTACTGAGGCTGATGGGACATCGTCTCTTGGCCTGATTGTTCCTCGTGGGCTTTCCTACTGCAGAAGGTGAAGGAGGGAGCTTCGTCCCCTCTTAAGAGCACCAAGCGCCAGCGCGAGAAGGTGGCCTCTGACACGGACGAGGCTGACAGGACCAGCTCCAAGAAGACAAAAACCCAGGTGAGCTTTGCAGCTGAGCCCTGTTTACTAACGCTGGCAGCTCATGCCCCTTGAGAATCCCCCAGGACGGTGTGGGGAAAGGGGCTAGAGTGGCCCTTGACACTTGCCGGCTCAGGGCAGGACCTGTGGTCCCAGGGGCCAAACTTGCTGCTTCATCTTTACAGACTTGATTGTGTGCCCAGTGCTAGCAACATGGAGCAGAGAGGGCTCTGCTCTCCTAGGGCTTCCATCTCTCCCTTCTCTGGCTCTAGGAGATCAGCCGGCCCAACTCACCATCTGAAGGCGAGGGAGAAAGTTCGGACAGTCGTAGCATCAACGATGAGGGCAGTAGTGACCCCAAAGACATCGACCAGGACAATCGCAGCACGTCCCCCAGCATCCCCAGCCCCCAGGACAATGAGAGTGACTCAGACTCATCAGCCCAGCAGCAGATGCTGCAGGCCCAGCCCCCAGCCTTGCAGGCTCCCAGTGGGGCCACCCCAGGTCCCTCCACAGCCCCTCCAGGAACACCCCAGCTGCCCACGCCAGGGCCCACGCCTGCTGCCACTACACTCCCTCCACAGGGCTCCCCCGCAGCCTCCCAGCCCCCTAATCAGCCACAGGCTCCAGTGGTGCCTGCTCCCCACACCCATATCCAGCAAGCGCCTGCCCTGCATCCGCAGCGGCTGCCCTCCCCACATCCCCCTCTGCAGCCTCTGACCGGGCCGGCTGGCCAGACCTCTGCCCCGCCTCATACCCAGCCCACCCTGCACAGTCAGGGCCCGCCCGGACCTCATAGCCTGCAGGCCGGGCCCCTGTTGCAGCACGCAGGGCCCCCTCAGCCCTTTGGCCCCCCTCCCCAGCCATCCCAAGGCCAGCCCCCTCTGGGGGCCGCCCCAGCGGCAGCTCACCCCCATGCCGCCCTGCAGCTCCCAGCCACTCAGTCAGCACTGCAGCCCCAGCCACCCCCACGGGAGCAGCCCCTGCCGCCCGCACCCTTGTCCATGCCTCACATCAAGCCCCCCCCCACCACACCCATCCCCCAG